TTTTTTTTTTTTTAATAGATCTTCCTCTAGTCTGATTCTGATTATCAAGCCATTGAAGTTAGGTCATTGGGTACTGTCTGCAAGTTTGGGCATTCTTGTGCGTCTCCCCTCACTTCATATCAGCTGAATGCTTCACTCTCAGCTCTAGCCTTCCATGACTGTGTCCTTGTCGATGAGCTTAGGAGTCCCCAGGTCTCACCATACTTTCAGACCAACCATCCCCAGTCTATGATACTATTAATTTCTTCTCCAACACCATAATTCAAATGCATTGATTCTTCTACAGTCTTCCTTATCCATTGTCCAACTTTCACATGCATTTGAGACAATTGAAAATGTCGTAACTTGGAATAGGCTCCCCTAGTCCTCAAACTAATCTCTTTTCTCTTGAATACTTTACAGAGGTCTTTTATGGCAGGTTTACCTTAATTCAAAATATCATTTGATATCTTGACTGATGTTTCCATGAGTGTTGATTGTGGATCCAAGCAAAATGAAGTCATTGACAACTTCAATCTTTTCTCCATTTATCATGATGTTATGTATTGGTCTAGTTGTGAAGATCTTTGCTTTCTTGTCATTGAGGTACAATCCATACTGAAGACTGTGGTTTTTCATCTTCAACAGTTAATATTTTAAGTCTGCTTGGCTTCCAGCAAGCTAGGTTGTGTCATCTACATATCACAGGTGGTTAATGAGTATTCCTCCAATCCTCGTGCTGTGTTGTTCTTTATAGAATCCAGCTTCTTGGATTATTTGCTCAGTATACAGATTGAATATGTATGGTGAAAGCAAAGAACCCTGGCACACACCTTTCCTAATTTTAAACCATTCAGTATCCCCCTTGTTCCATTTGAACAATTGCCTCTTGGTCTCTGTTCAAGTTCCGTATTTGCACAATGAAGTGTTTTGGAATAACCATTCATCACTATGTTATCTGTAGTTTGTCATGGTCTACACTGTGAAAACCTTTGCGTAATCAGTGAAGCACAAATAAACATCTTTCTTGTATTCTCTGATATTCTGTGCTTTCAGCCAAGCTCCATCCCTCCTCATTCCATGTTCTCTTTTGAATTTGACTTGAGTTTCTGGCAGTTTGCTGTTAATGTACTATTGCAACAATTTTAAATTATCTTCAGTGAAATTTTTCTTGTATGTTATATTAATAATACTGTTTAATGATTTCCGTATTCTGTTGGGTCATCTGTCTTTGGAATGGGTACAAATATGGATCTTTTCCAATCAGTTAGCCAGGTAGCTGTCTTCCAGGTTTCTTGGCATAGATAAATGAGTTCTTCCAGTGCTACATCAGTGTGTTTAAAAGATTTCAGTTTGTATCCCATCAATTCCTGGAGCCTTGCTTTTTTGCCAGTGTCTTCATTGCTTCTTGGACTTCTTCCTTTAGCAGCATTGGCTCATGATTATTTGCTGCCTCTTGAAATGGTTGAACATCGACCACTTCTTTTTGGTACAGTGATGCTATGTATTCCTTCCATCTCCTTTTGATGCTTTCTGTGTTATTCAATATTGTGACTATGTTAGTTGTTGTTAAGTGCCATCGAGTCGCTTCTGACTTGTAGTGACCCTGTGTAGGGTTTCTGAGGAGAGGTTGGCAAGTTTGTACCACTGACTTTTTGGTTCATACTGAGCTTTTGCGGTCTAGTACTTATCATAGAGTTCCACGCCAGGATTCTGTTGTATCCATAGAATCCTTCAGCATCGCAAGCTGAGGCTTTAGTTTTTTTCATACACTGATTTTTATGGTTTTAGTTGTCATATTTAGCTCTTCAATCCGCTTTGGATTTTTTTTTTTTTTTTGATTGCATTAGCTTTTTGAAAGTTAAATGACATTTCCTCAGTGGAATTATACCTGATTGTGAGATTAGCCCAAATGGGAAGTAATGAAAAGTAAAAGATGATATTAAATGAGAATATCACTAATAGCTTGTAAAAATAAAGGAAATAAGATTTAATTGCTGTATCCTGTCAAATATTTTTTACTTTTCAGATTTTAGTTATAGAATACTGTTGTTCTGTTATTATTCCAAATAACAGATATCTTTGATATTAGAATTTTCAATATTGATCATTTTAATCTTATTTTCACTTTTTAAGGTTGATTGTATATCCTCCACCACCTACCAAAGGGGGATTAGGAGTAACTAATGAAGATCTAGAGTGCTTAGAAGAAGGAGAGTTTCTTAATGATGTAATCATTGATTTCTATCTTAAGTAAGTACAATGATAAATTATCTTCTCATTTATTTCAAGGTTTCATGGTGAAGTATCTCTTCCTTAGATATTTTAATACTAGCTAAAAATAAAGTTTTTCAGATTTGGAGAATTAATTGCATACTTGGTTTCATTTCTTTACTTCACATGATAATATATACTTCAGAAGAGCTACTGTGTTTGTTTTTGCATGTTTATATTTTATTTATAATTCTGTTACTTTATTATTGTGATAAAGGAAATACAAATTTGTGAACTGAAAAGAGGCAACTCTGTCCAATTATTTGTTGTACCTTTAAGCAGTATGGGACGATATTGTCCTTTGAAAAAATCCACCTCACTATTTCATTTAAAAAATACTTTTCAGCACTTTTTGTATACTCAAAGTTGAAGGATATGGAGACTCTTAAAATTTTTATACAAAGGAAATTTTGTTTGTAGCCATCATTTTGTATTTCACATTTCCAATTTATGCTGGAGGTTTCTTCTAATTATTTCATTGACACTTTCGAAGCCAAATTTATCAGCATTTTACTTAAGCCTTGTTTTTTTTTTAATTTTATTTTTTAACTAATATTACCTTTATTCTACGTACTTTGATCAAAATCTCACCTTATCATTTACTCTTTATCTTGGACTTTGCAGATTTACTCACTAGGCATCTGATTTAGGTCTTTTGAATATTTTCATAGCTTTAGTTATTTGAAGATAAGGAATATGAATGTTGTAACTGTTTTAATGATATTTTTTGCTTATTCTAACATGTCAGTTTGAGTTTGGTTCAATTCTGATTTTTCTCTGTGATGAGTCCTGTTGTCTTTTACTACTTTTTTGCTTACCAGGTGATTTTAAAAATTTTATTATATTTCAGAATATACACAGCAAAAAATATATTAGTTCAATGTTTTCAACATATAAAATCCAGTGACATTGGTTTGGTTCTTCAAGTTGTGCAACTGTTTTAACCCTCCTTTTCTGAGTTGCTCCTCCCCCATTAACATGAATTCACTGCCCCAAATCTGATCTTTTGAATTTCTGTTGTCAGTTTGGTCTCTATTATTGTTGTTATTAGGAGTCAGTTTTGACTCATAGTAACCCCCCTATGCACAACAGAATGAAACACTGTCCACTCATGGGCCGTCCTCACAGTTCTTATGCTTGAGTCTGTTGCTATTACCACTGTGCCAATTCATCTTGTTGGGAGTCTTCCTATTTCTCAATGACCCTCCACTTTACCCTCTTCAAGGAAAGAAACACACACAAGAGGAAAAGTAACAAAGAAGAAAACAACAGTGAAAAAAGAAAAGTAAAAAGCAGGCAACAGCTAGAAAAAGAACACAATAACCAAAAAGAGAAAAAAGGGAGAGAAAATAAATAAAAAACATGGAAAAGAAAAATGAGAGATAAAACAAAAAGCATTGACATAGTTAGGGAGAAAGATGAGTAAAAGAAAGAAAAACAAGGGTAGTGAAGAAAACTAAGAGAAAAGAAAGAAGAAGCGGGGAGGTGGGGGGAAAGAGAGAAGGAAAAATGAAACCAGAGCTAGAAAGGATGAAAAGCAAAGGTAAAGAAGGGAAGAAAAAATAAACAGACAAACAAGGAAAGGAAAAAACCAGGTCAGGTAATTCTTGGTAACCAATGAATCTATGTAGCTGTCAGCCCTAGCTGGGGTTCCTAAAGGCCTAGATGTTTTCTGTTGTGGGTACCAGAAATAGTTCATGCAGACCCTAAACAAATTGGAATCAAGGTCTTTTTGTCACAGAGGGAAACTGGTGTGAGTGTTCTGCTAGTCCAGAGATGGCAGAACTGACTCTCTTGGTCTGGAGCAGGCCTTACCTCAATTCAGCTGCTGGGTTGGTTCAGATAACTTCCCACTCACTTTGACGTGGCTTACAACTGCAGGTCTCATCACTGTGTGTTTACAACCACCTGGAGAGCAGGAGATTCACTGGGGCTGTGTGCATGTGAGTGCTGGTCACTCCTCTGGTAATTGGGGTAACTTAGGGTAGAAGGAAAAAAATTACTCCTTTCTCTCCCCTGTTGTTGTTGTTGTTGTGAAGTGCCGTTGAGTCGATTCCGAGCCATAGCGACCCTGTACAGGGTTTCCAAGGGTGTAAATCTTTTCCAAGGGTGTAAATCTTTACGGGAGTAGAAAGCCTCATCTTTCTCCCACGGAGCGGCTGGTAGTTTCGAACTGCTGACCTTAAGGTTCGCAGCCCGATTCGTAACCACTACGCTACCAGAGCTCCTTTAGTAAGCTGTATGTCTCTGTGCCATGAAGCTGCCCCTCTGCCTTTAGCATTCCCCCACAAAAGTTCAAAATGGGCATGCTGTGACTGACTAGCTAGCGCAGGCCACTTATCACTCTCTCTCTCTTTTTTTTCCTTCACTCTGTTTAGCTGCTTCTTGTGAGTGCTAGTCCAGGGATGGTCAGGGATGGCTATACAAGTTTGGAGTAGGGCTCACTGAATCCAGGGACTGGAGTTGATGTGATAGCACCCAACTCACTTGGATGTTGTTCAGAACTGCGTGACTCCCCACTCTGACGGATAAGCGAGTGAGATCGGCACTGGGAGCATATGAGGGTAGGGGCCAGGCATGTCGCTGTTTAGCAGGGGAGTGTGGAGAACAAGAGAAAAATATGCATCTTTATCTCTGTGACTCATTGAACAACCCTTTACCACCAACCTTAGGTCTTGTTTCCAAAGCCATTTGCAAAAGTTTAAGATGGCCATATCTTGTCTAGTGGGCTGGCACAGATCACCTGTGTGTCTCTTTTTCTTTTGCCACATGTGTTCAGCTTCCTCTCCTAGTCAGCTTTCAGACCATTTCTCTATCACTTCATTGTAAGCTCGGGTTCCAGGACTGTTATCTGAGTCTGCTCATTTGGCTTTTTGGTATCTTTGTTTTAGAGTGTGTAGTGTTTCTACCTAGTCAGCTATCTTGTTGCAAATTTAAATTATTCAAGATTATTTAAGAGTGTCGTAGTTGCAGTTTTACATTTGATCATGCTATTATTTGATTAATGTTTCATCCTTCTTCACCCTTAAGGTGTTATTTTTCTTTACCCTCGTTGAATCTCCCGTTTGAACATGGTACTTTTAGGGCTTTGATAAATCTTGTTTAAATGAATAAGTGGGCAATTGCTTTAAATGATATGATGGAAGGTGAGATAACTAAAGAAAAACTGAAAAATGAAATCTGCTAACTGCCAGAATTGCTGAAGTGTTGCTTTCAATCTAATTGAATATAAAATATAAAAAGTAAGACTTCTAGAACACAGAAAATAATTGGGAGTATGACTGTGTAAAATCTTCTAAAAACAGTTGACTTCTGTGGGGTTTCTACTTTGTAGGTATCTTATACTGGAGAAGGCATCAGATAAACTTGTTGAACGAAGTCACATTTTTAGTAGCTTTTTCTACAAGTGTTTGACAAGAAAGGAAAATAATTTAACAGAAGATAACCCAGATATCTCGTAAGTAAATCTTGTAGTATACTTAAGCACTATGAAGAAAATGTACTGTTTTGCTAATATATGTAGTATTTCTTAGAGTAAGTATTATTACCACTCGTTTAGGACTTGAGCCTGTTTGTTCTCAGAGCTACTTTTTCACTTCCATTGTTCTCCTCATCTTCAAGAAGATGTAGACTCTTGCAGGCTAGATTTTTAAATTCCCTTAGGGGAAACTTGGAGAACAGAAAAGGTAGGTTATTTTGTTCTTGCCATCTTTGCCTTGGTCAGTGACATTAGCAGCAGCTGTATTTCTTTTGATGCCCATTTGTCACTGTTCAGATCTGGTTGGACTCTACCTTTAAGGTGCAGACACTGCTTCTCCTCTTTGTCTTCTAGTCTAAGGTTATAGTGGTTTCCTATTATTGGCAGTCTATGGTTGCACCAACCTCTTCAATCTGAAATTGATCAAACATGCAGTCAAGTTGTATTGATCATTATTGGTGATTGGAATGCAAAAGTTGGGAGCAAAGAGGAAGGATCAATAATTGGAAATTATGGCCTTGGTGATAGAAATGATGCTGGAGAATGCATGATAGAATTCTGCAAAATCAGTGATTTGTTCATTTCACATACCTTCTTTAGACACCATAAGAGATGACTATACACATGGACCTCACCAGATGGAATACACAGAAATCAAATTGACTACATCTGCTGAAAGAGACGGTGGAAAAAGCTCCATTTCATCAGTGAAAACAAGGCCAGGGGCAGACTGTGGAACAAACCATCAATTACTCATATGCAATTTCAAATTGAAGCTGAAGAAAATGAAAACTAGTCCATGAAAGCCAAATTATGACTTTGAATATATCCCACCTGAATTTAGAGATCATCTGAAGAACAGATTTGTTACATTAAATACTAAAGACCGAAGACCAGAAGAGATGTGAGATGACATCAAGAACATCATACATGAAGAAAGCAGAAAGTCATTAAGAAGACAGGAAAGAAGGAAAAGGTCAAAAGATCCCTTTTGATCTTTTGAACTGAACTTGCTCTCCAGCATAGAGATGCTAAAAAGCAAATGGAAGAAATGAGGAGGTCCAAGAGCTGAACAGAAAATTTCAAAGATCACCTCGAGAGATAAAGCAAAATATTACAACCAATTGTGAAAAGATCTGGAATCAGAAAACCAAAAAGGAAGAACACGGTCAGCATTTCTCAAGCTGGGGGAACTGAAGAAAAAAATTCAAGCCTTGACTTTTGTTATTGAAAGATTCTCTGGGCAAATTATTGAATGATGCAGAAAGCATCAAGAGAAAATGGAAGGAATACACAGAGTCACTGTACCAAA